TGAGCTTTTCACGAGCCGAGCTCGAATAGCTTGTGAGAAGCTTGGCTCGTGGCCACCCCTAAATGCTGGTCATGGCCATCTGGGGTCTTGAGAGGTGCAGGCTGAATATAGACCTAATCTCTGACACTTTTTTGGGTGGTGTGAAGTAGCTGCTCTCAGACTCAAAACCACGTTCTCATGCTTATTAACCTAAGATGTTCCCATTGCACCAAGCAATGACCCCGAGTTAGATCTAAATAGATATTGTCAAATTATATAAGAGTTGCAGACCTTGTCCAATATTTGAATAGGGAATATATATTATATGTGCACTATGTATAATTCAGCCATGTAAAACTGCCAACACATTTCAAAAACCAATGTGTAAAAGAAGCTTTCCCATGCCTTCAATATCTTTATCCTAAAACCTTCTGTAGGGTATCTTTCCTTTCCTTTCTTTCCAAAATTCCATAGCATGTGGCAGAAGAGATGATGCTTTATATGATCTTAGCATCTGATCCACCTGCAATTGATTGCCAAGCTGGAAATAGTGCAATTGCACTTGCCTGCCAAACCAACTTTTTGAGGGAAAAACTTCCATATATCCAGTTTAGTGCCTTCTTGCATGTAGAGAATAGATGGTTGATGTTCTCCTTTTCTTTGTTGCACATGAAGCATTTGCTTCCATATTGTAGTCTCTGCTCTTAACATGCCCTAATCATTGAAACACTCTTCAGTGCCACAAAATATACAAATGCGTCCACCCTTGGAGGCACTGGATACCTGAAGTTCTTTCTAAGCAAGAAACCTYCAGATTTATTTTCCAGATTTATTCAACTATCCTTGACAAGGGAAGGATTTATTGTGGGGGCCCTAACAGTATGACAGGTCTGATGAAGTGGAATTCTGGGGTGCCATGGGATTATCTTATGCTAATCATATACTTGATGAAAAAATTTACAAGATAGGCACCAACAACATGCTTCTTTTCTCAGGTGACTGCTGGTCACCTTTCTTGTACTTTCTATTTTTCTTCAATAATTTTTTATTTACCTTAAAAAAATAAATATACAATACATTCACAAAGTGGGGTAAATCGATTAGGATTGATATTTAGAAGTGGACTTTTTCATGGAGATTCATGGGATCTTAAAGGTAGTATAAATGGGTAACTAGATGAGAGGAAGTTGAATAAGACAGTTCAATCGTGTTTGTGGAAGACCAACTATACTAATGAGAATGAGTGTTTTGGTGCATATTGATGGCAAAAAATGACATGGGTTTGGTAGTGAGCAAAGACCTAGAACTTCTCATTTGGCATAAGATATGGCCCTCAATAGAGTAGAGTTAGTAGTAGAACAGGATTTTTTTCTCAATCCCAAATTGCTGGGATAGGAATTAGTTAAATTGAGTGTATAAATGTGCATGTATGCACTTGTACAAACTTGCATTTTCATTGGACAAATCCCGGACCTTGTAGATGATTACAAAATTCTTTTCTCAATATTGTTGTATTCTCATTGTAAATTATCTTTTGGAAGCTGTTAGAGTGAGCCGAATAGGGGTAGTTTAGTAATCTCATGTCAGTTAAGTACTTTGCTTATGTGGCTGTTTTATTAGAGCACTCTGCCCCACACTTAAGTGTGGGCAGTTTAGTCTTTGTAAGTGTAATTAGAACCTAATAAACATAAGGGGGTCGACTGAATGGGTGACTAATCAGTTTCGACTAAACCCTCCTTTTCTCTCTTTCTCTTGTCTTCTTCCTCATCTTCTTCTTCCTTCTTCACTGGTTCGGATTACTGTAGCAGCTCCAAAACAGAAGCCAAGTGAGCTTCAAAACACAACTTATTATTTTCAATACCTTTTTACAAAGTGATTTCTCTCAGCATTCTTAAGATTTTGTTTTCTTCAAGCTGCTACCAATGTTGGATTTTGATGTTTGAAGCATATTAATGAGAGTGCTTTCCATATTTTTGAAGAGTCTGATCTCTTGTTAATGCATATTGTTGTACTACATCAAACTTGCAAATTCAGAGTCCAGCTATTTAAGAAAGCATTTAGGTAACATGTGATTGTTATAGACATTCATGTGAAGTTAATCTACAACTTGTTTTTTTTGATTTTTCATTTTTGGGGTGTCTCTCATGATCTTAATTAATTTGATGCAGTTGTTGTACTATGTGCTATTTAGGAGTGTTTAAGTGTCATATGATTTTTATAGACATTCATTTGAAGTTAATCTACAACTTATTTTTTATGCCTTTTCATTTTTGGGGGATGTGTGCCATGATCTTAATTAATTTTGATGCAGTTTTTCCTTTTTGATTTTCATTCATCTAAAATATTTCTATATTTGGTATTTAACTCATGAAGACCAACTAAATTTGGTAGATGGGCTGGCTTATAAATTGGTTTCTTAGTGTTTCTAATTTGGATTCCTGCTTATCAGATCTCTTATTTGAATGCACTTCGGTTTGGGATAAAGAGGATATTTTTTGGAGGATTCTTCATAAGAGGCCATGCTTACACCATGGATACTATTTCTTTTGCAGTTCATTTCTGGTAAGTATAAAAATAAGTACTAAACTTTCAAGTATTAGAGTATAGGAGCCACCTTTTTTTCTTTTAGTTTATTAGATAGTGGTAATGAAACTAAACTGGAAAAATGTTGGCTCATCAGATGCTTTCCAACTCCTAAGTTTTCAATGTACTAAAGTTTGTGCCTTTAAATTCCAAGTGACGGCTTCACGAGTGTCTTGAGTTTGTTGTCTTTCTTGTTATTTATTTATATTGTAGGAGAGGAGAAGGGGGGATCACATTGCTTGTCTCATTTATGAGGTGCTGGCATACTGGAGCTTCAAAGTGTGGAGATGGCTTATAAATTCCTCATTTCAAGTTTTTAAATTAGAGTCCCAATTTCCAAGTGCCCTTACTCATTAATCTATCTTTTAGAACTCTTGCTTATGTTTGAGGGCATTTTGGAGCACAAAAGCTTGAAATGAAGTAACTTTGAGTCATGTCCATACTTTGAAGCAAAATGGTGTCTAGACCTCTTAAAATAAGAAGCTAATGACAACCTCAGTTGAATATTTTACACTTGTTGTTTAGGTCAAAAGGTGAGGCAAAAGCAATGTTTTTGCGGCATGAAGGGTTCCTGGGAGCTTTGGGTGCATTCATGAGCTATGAAAAGCATGGACTTGATGTCTTGATGGCCCATCAGTTAGTGGAACGATTCCCAATGGGTGCACCTTATGTGGGAGGAAAAATTCATGGCCCACCACTTGGGGATTTGAATGAGAAGGCAAGTATATATTGTAATATTTAGTCAGCTCAGTTAATGTGTTTGATTCTATCAGATTCAGATGTAGAAAGTCAGACATGCTGCTGTTAGATGGCTGATGGCCTAAACTTTGTTCTAGTATCTCAATTTTATCTGGTCAGATGTGAACTTAAAAGAAGGTGATAGACTGCATATCTGTCTAGACATGCCAACTTTGGCTGCTCTATTAGTTCCTCTACCTCATTTCTCTGAAATGAGCGGTTCCCATAGCAAATTAATAAAATGATACATACTATTGATCAGGGGTTGAAGTTACGTAAATTATTATTAAATTACAGAAAACTCATGGCGGAGGAAGATTTCCTGGCAATAGTGGGCTGGACTGCCCAAAACAATCCAGGATAATGCCAACATGGACATGGTGTGTGTGTGTGTTCTGGGGGTGGGGGTGTTTAAAACAGTTAGCAACAGAATTGGGGGCTCAAGTAGTATGAATACATTGCTGACTAAAAAGGTAGTATGAACTATAAAGACAAAGATAAGTTAATAGCATGGCAGATGCCTTAGCCAAACAAGAGACAAGCAGAAATCAACTTTATTGGAGGGTTGCAACTCGCAACTAGGAATCTAGTTCCCTAGGTTTGTATATATGGATTATGATGGGTGAAGTAGCGTAAGGCTACCAAGGATATCGGGGCGTTTGGAACAAATTTTTCTACATTCTACATTCTTTCTTTTTTCTTTTTTATAAATATTCTACATTCTTTCCTTCTTTTATTAATAAAATGTGGACAGTTGTCAAAAGGAAATTGATACATACTGTTGATGACAAAAAACATTAAAATGTATATTATACTCAAGATGTAATTGTACCATTGATTAATAAAGTGAAATAATGAAATAGAATGTTCTGTAAAATTCAAATAGGTAGGACTAATATTTGTTCCAGGAAAAATCTATGTTGACTGTTAATGCTTACTTTTACATTCCTTTATAACTTTTATTTTGGTTGACACACTACCAATAAAATTAACGTAGTTTTTTTTGATTGGTAACAGTAACTTCATTCAAAAACATTAATTAAAACTTTAAAAGTACATCTACCACACATCCTGTGATGGTGTTGACCATTTAAATAAAAAAATATGACATAGCCCAGAAAGGATCTCCCCTAGTAACCCCTTGTTTAGCTAGTGTGTCAGCCAACCCATTTTCTTTCCTTCTAAACCATCTAAATGTCACATCAATCTCCTGTGAAAGACACCTTATTTCCCTCACACTCTGCCTATGAGTCCATAACTTATCTTCTTGCATCCACCCTATTACCAGTCTTCCAGCCCCCTCAACTTGCAACAGATCACTTCTTACGGGTGCTGTAGATGGTCTTCTTTGCACCTGACCAAACCATCTTAATCTACTTCCTCTCATTTTATCACCTATTGGCGCTACTCCTAGGTTCTTTTGAACGACTTCATTTCTGGCCCTATCCCTCCTAGTTTGTCCACTCATCCATCTTAGCATACATATTTCAGCCACACTGTTTTTTTTTTTTTTTTGGACTTTTTTTTCTCGACTGCCCAACACTCTGCTCCATACAGCATTGTCGGCCTTACAATTGTTTTATAGAAATTTCCTTTTAACCTGAGTGGTATTCGCCTATCACATAAGATCCCAAATCCTCCCCTGCATTTTTCCCATCCCTATGGGTGGCATCCTCTTCAATCTCTTCCCTATTATGAGTTATTTTTTAACAAATGAAAAGGAAAATAAAAGGCCTTAACATTTCATTTAAAGTGACATACAATGAGAAGGGAGCACAAAAGAAAGAAAATTAAAACCACCTTTGAAAATTCCACATCCACAAAGGCCTCAAATATACATTGCAGCTCACAGACTTGATAAAACCGCCAACAGAACTAGGAAGCCAACAAACACTACCAACTGATAAAAAAGAGAAACCTTAAAGTGGGAAATGACCCAACTGACACAAAAAAATCCATTTAGGTAGGGCCACATCCATTTTATCTAGTATTGATAAATTGTCATGTAATTTCTATTAACATTCGGCTTCATCCATACAAAGAGAGAAAAGAGGACATCAGAGGTGCATGTTTAAAATGATACTTCCACCTCCAAAGAGTAACTTTTATTGAAAGGGCAAATATTATGTACAATTAGAGTATTGCCCTTAAGACATTATACAATTACAAAACAATTAAATGAAAGGAACATATACATCCAGTCCTATCACATCACTGTATAACACAAAAACTAGTTACATTGTGCCTTAATGGTTAGAGATCTGTTATTATACTCATCTGTCAGTAGTAGAGCCTTTCTAACCACACTATAGATGGAGAACCTGTGAATGATATGAACACTACTCAATTGATCCTATATGTTCAAATGGTCATTTACTGAGATATGATAATTCTAAGCATGGTGTTACATCAGGGTAATTTTGTCCTGATATTTACATAAACAGGGACTATAATGTTGTTTTCTTTTTAATCAGGAATAGTAGAAATATTTATGAGTGGTCAATTGACCTGCAACTCTTGTATTCACGCACAAGCTCCTGTGTCTTCTCTCTTTTCATTAAGCTTTCACTCTGAATCTGTAAATTAGTGCTTCAAGTATATGTTAAAGGTTAAAACATTGAGAGCAAGAATCTCAGTACAATACAAGAAGTTTGCATATAAGAATTAAGATTGGTTCAAATTCATTCCAAAAAGTGAAATGTATACTTAATACGAACTATACTGATGAATCCTTTGGAGCAAGTATGCAAGCTACCACTGTGTGAGTTCATGATTAAGAAAATGAAAAAAGCAAGGTTTAAAATGTCGATGTCGATGGAAAAGTTGCTTACCAAAATATAGGACATATGTCGGAAATGTCGATGGGAAATCTTGTAAAAATTAGAGACAATGTGGAAATATTATGAAATATGTGGAAATATGCGGAAATATGCAATGATATTTTGTAAAATGATAAAAGAAGCATTAAATACATATTTCTAGACTATTATCTTATTCCCTACCATTATATAAAGCTAAGAAACTAAGATCAATAACAAATTAGTAAATGACGATTTACTGATTTATTATGCATTTTGATGTTTTTACAAGGTTATCCGATATTTTCTTTTCTTATTTTTAATTTTGATTTATTATAAATTCTAATATATTTTTTTCACAC